CACACACACACACACACACACACACACACACACACACACAAACACACATGTATTATCTCTCATTCACACTGCTGTGTAATGCAAAGAAAAAACCCATAATGTTATGCAACAATTAAGCCTATATTTTTTAATTATTTTAATTATTATATTTAATCATTGTATTTTATATTACATTATTATATTTCATGGTAAAGTGGATAGTTAGAGTGGGGACATGTACCATAGACTAAACTTTCCAGTGTTCTTAGTTCTTATTAATGTTTTTAATTATACATCTTCAATTTTCAATTAGGTCAATGTATAAGACATTATGCTTGATAATAAAATCATTTTACAGTTATTTTATGTGCACATTTATACATGTAATTTCCTGGGGACGGAAATGGCACCAATTTGGTGGAATGGCTCTAAGATATATTTTTAAATAATAATAAAATGTCCATTACCAGCTCAGAGATTCATGATGTCTCTGTTAGTGTAATGTTTTGATGGTATCATTTGGTTTAGGTCATACTATGGGACAGCACCATGCAGAGCAACACCACAGACACCTCCCAACACTACTTTGAGGAAGAGGAGGAGGTGGAAGAAGTTCAAGAGCCACCGCTTTCCAAGACCATCACTGTTTTCAGGTAGGGCGACACCCATCACATCAGCAGACAGACTCACTGTGACTATTGGCTGCGTTTGTGTGTTTCCTGCAGAGATCCTAAGAAGCAGAAACGGACCATCACCGGCCTTTCGTGGCATCCTGATGGAGGCAGGAAGCTGGCTGCAGCCTACTCCTGGCATGAGTTCAAGGAATTCCCCGAAACCTTGAGCCCGCACTCGTACATCTGGGATGTCGGAGGGTCCCACAGGAAGTAGGATGAAATCTACCCTCGATCGCAGATTTTATATTATTTCATTGTTGTTGTTTTTTTTCAGAGAACCCAAACCACCCAGAGACAACTCTGAAACTGGCATCTCATCTCGTCTGCCTGGACTATAACCCCAAAGACTCCCACACTCTTGTTGGCGGCAGCTACAGTGGGCAGATCAGTGGGTTCAGCTCCACACTCCATGAGGTACGGGTGAGGCTCTGGTGGGCTCACATGCAGGTGTGTTTGTTACAGCTTACTGGGACACCAGGAAAGGCAGCCAGCCTGTGGAGTATTCTTCTCTGAAGCACAGTCACAGAGATCCGGTCCGCAAGACCATCTGGTTGCAGTCCAGGACCGGGGCCAATGTGTTCTCTGCCTCCACAGGTAGATAAACTAACGATGAGCAGATGACATGCTGATTCTAGGCCTTTCTTTGAATAATGAGCTTTAAAAAATAAATTAATACAATTCTCAGGTTTTGTGGTGGGACGTCCGTAATCTGAGCGAGCCCACGGATCGTCTGGTTCTGGATCCGAGCAAGAAGTGGAATCTAGGCCAAGCTTTAGGTGCCAGCTCTCTGGAATTTGAGGCCACTCTGGTGAGCGAATAAAATGCTCCCGAGTTTGTCGTCTGTGTTTCTGTTTTCTGTCTTCCTGGTATAAATGTATAAATTTAGCTGATGTTTTAAAATGCCTGTGACATGCATAACCACGAAATACAAAAAGTCAAAGAAAATATTTATATTTAAGAAAGTTGACATAATACAATTTATTTGAACCGTTATGACACATAATTGGCATATTTTCCTTTGAATTTGGCTCAGCTAAAGTGAAACAGGAAGTGACATCAAAGGGGAACTCTTTGAGAAAGAAAAATCTGGTTTTTGTTTATTGAAACAATATTATTTGAACTCTGACTCTCATCTCTCTATGATAGTAATTAAAATAATCTAAAGAACATTGGTGGGATGTAACTAAGTTTCTAGTTGTACTTTAAGTACATTTTTATGTATCTGTACTTTACTTAAGCATATTTCATCATGGGTACTTTTGACTTTTACTCCACTACATTTTACATTAAGTATCTGTACTTTCTACTCCACTACATTTCTGTAATGTGTTGAATTACAAAGTACATTCATGTCACGTCAATTTATTTTTTATTTTATTTTATTTTTTGTTAGAAAGTAATCAGTGGCAAGAGGGAGAATTGCTGTAATTGGTCCACTGAACAAAGCAGGAAAGTACCATTACACCCTCCTTCATAAAAAAGCAGAGCATCGGCATGCCCACAATGGTTTCCACCATGGAGGAAATGTGCCATTCATGGCCTTATTTAACTGGTTCAAAAAATGACTTGTTGAGATTTGATAGAGGAGGTTGGTGGTGAGTTTACATCTTCTGCAGCTGTTGTCACAATATGTGACGATGCACAGAATCACAAGTCCAAGTGTGAACAGTGTCGCAGAGTGTAAACACAAAACTATGCATTATCTGCAGCTTTGTTCACTAAAATGGCACCATTGATGTATTAAAATATGCATACAGTAGGCACACTTCATGATATTGTAGACCATTATACATTAATCAAGTACTTTTACTTTTAATACTTTAAGTATTTTTAAAAGCAAGTACTTACTTACTTTTACTCAAGCAAAATGTTAATGTGGTACTTTTACTTTTATTAGAGTACATTCTTGTCTGTTTATCTGTACTTTTACTTAAGTACAGTATTTGTACTTTCTTGTATTGGTTCTTTGTATTGGTACTTTCTCTACCACTGCTAAAGAAACATCAGATTATTTTCTGTGTTGTCTTGCCTTTTTAGCAACGCTCTGTTTACATTCAGACATTCCTCTTTGACATCACTTCCTGTTTCTTCACATGCAAATGTCTCAACAACTGTTCATCTCAGCTGCGTGAAATCTTTCTTACAGTATGTTATCAATGTTATCTTTCCAAAAATACATTCATATGTATTAGTGCTGGGCGGTATACCGTTTTGTACCGAATACCGGTTTTTATTTTTGTTATGATATGAATTTTCTGAATATCGGACATTCCGGTTTAAATAGAGGAACGTTTCGTTGCGGCCGCCAGTGAACTGTTGTTTCCCAGGGGACATTTTTCCTTGCTGCTCCGCTATGTGTGTTAGCATGCTAATGTTTGGAGCAGCTAGTTGCAGCAGCGGGTGGCGTTTATCCTGCTTATATTGACTGACGTTTAAAAAAACAGCCTGTTTTCGCCATCGCTGAATGTAGTAAACACCTCTTCAGTGACGTGCAGTTAGATTTAACACGGTTAGTTAATATGGAGACGTTATGCTGATGGAGACTTAACGTGCTTCTATTGTGAAAAGCCTGCAGGAAGTAGTTCTTAGTGGAGTTGGAATTGTCTGGTGTGCAAAGTGAGTCGTGCTGGGGGGGGGGGGGCTGCAGACATGAAAGCGCCTGCTGAGCAGCAGGAGGAGAGAAGAGCGGAAAAGGTTCAAAACTTATTTCTAGCGGCAGAACAGGTTAAAAGATGGCTGTCTTACGTTGTTTATTGTTTTTTATCATCCTACAGGCTCTGACATGTTAGATAAATTTGAAAATCAGGTTTTGAAAAATCCGTAAGACTTGAAAAAACCGTGAGATTGCTCTATACACCCGTATACCTGCAAAATGACGTTAAATCCTTATAACTTACGGACAATCCGTACAAGTTGACATGTATCAGCAGGGTTTGTTCGTTTTATTATCAGCTGAGCTGTGATGAAAAGAAAAATACCGTCAAATACCGTGAAACCGATGAAAATGTTGAAAATACCGTGATATAAAATTTTGATCATATCACCCAGCCCTAACAGATTCTACATTCAACTCAAAATATGAATCATCCTTTTTGTGTCGAATTGGACGTTTGATTCTTTGACCAGCTGGAACTTTTGTTCAGAAGCAGCTTGTCACTGGTAACGACACAGCTTTCCTCTCCCTCATTCCCTCAGCTTCACAGAGCTTTAAACAGTCAGACACAGAGCGTCCACAGACTTCAATAGTAAAGCAAAAAAATGCAGCGAAACGAGACGAGTCATTGGATAAATGCTGGGCTTTGTCCCGCCCCCAGATGCTCAGCGTTTCTTGGGGGTCTATGGAGCAGTGGGCGGGTTCGGACGCCCAGATTCTGCATGATGATCGTGTAAGGGTCACCTCGAGTGAAGAAACAAGATTTACTGCCCCTAAGCAGGCCTCGGACAGGCCTGACGAGAGGACAGGAACTCTGTCACAAACTGAACTCTATTTAGGCCATGACAGGTCATTCTAACCGTGGAAGAGAACCCCTCAGTTCTCTTAATCAGATAATGGACAGAACAATCTCTTCTGTTCGTGATTCATTTGTTGTTTAACTAAGAATGTTTTTGCATTTGTTAAATCATGATAATGACTGTCACATGAAAAGTGGAACAACTTCTTTTCTTTTATCGTGCCTTAAAGATTAATAATGGTATAAAAAAATCACAGAGAATCTGATTACAATGTTTTCATTGTGTTTTTATGTAAATCACTGTTTTTATTTTACTGTGAACACAGTAATATAGTTGTGGATTTTTCCTGAGAAAATCTTTCATTTATCTGGACTAACAGAAGGTTCAGAACTGATTATAAAACAGAAATATTAATTAATCATCATAAATGTTTTGCAGTGATTTCTCTTAGAGTCTATCAGAAGAAAGCTGAAAAGAGGTTATTATGTTGTTCAACAGCCACAGAATTTTAACCTTGGTCTGGCGCCACTGGCAGATCTTTATCTTTATTCTCTGACTCATCTCTAAGCCTGAGGGCGGAGCCAAAGTTCGTCCGTTTCTTTTACTAACCCGGACGGCTTTGAGCAACACACTCTTCTTCCTGACTCCAACCGAGGAAGAAAGCTGGGATTCTCTCCGGAGAAAACCCAGTTTGGCTTTAAGTCTGATCCCATGAGCTAACTAGGGTAGACTTCACAGCCAGGGACCCGGCACTCCAGTCGGTGGTTCCACATCGAGGCTTCAAGCCTCTAAAGTGTGTTTTAACTCCCGAGGGGAGATTTTATTTTGGAAAGAAGGGACCGGATATGGCTTGAAATTTTCTGGCTTGGACTGAAACAGATGCAAGTTACCTGTGAAAACACCTACTCGCCAATGACCGGTAAGCGAGCCGACATCAGTTCCCTGACTGATCGGAGGYGAGCCAGCTCCTACCCCGAGGGAGTCTTAAGAAGTCATCACCAGGTAAAGCTGATGTGTTCGGAGTGACGTGTCATGTGGAACCTGAGCTTAGAAAAGACGTGCAGTTCCGGTTGWCCCACACTTTGATAAAAGTAAAAGTMGTAGTAACATACTAATCTTACTTTCCTCCTTTCCTTGTTCTYAATTTGCCVAAACTTAAGCTAAWAGTGCCAGTAAAATTGTTTTGTTGTTAACATCAGAACTGACGTTTTACTGTTCTATAAAAGTAATCTGAGTTTATGTGAATTGAAATTCAGACACTGGTTTTATCTCATTTAACTGTGATGCTTGTTATAGGAATAACCACATTCAAGTGTAACTTATGATCTGTTCAATTTGTGTAAATAAATGATTGCATAGTCTTTTATGAATCAACTTGAACTCGTCTGAACGTTCACTTATTGTGTCACTTTTCACTTCGCACAGTCAAGATATTAACAAGTAATGAGAAAACACAAGGTTTCCTCATAACCTTGTGTATGAGAGATGTGGGAAAAGCTTAATGCCACCTTAAGTTCACTCCTACATATTGGTGGCCCGTACGGGTCCATTTTTAATGGTAACTCGTAATAATTTTCTCATGAAAATAATATCTTCTGTGCACTGTGGAAAAACAGTTTTTCTTCATGTTGGCAATAGACAAAGTGTTATTATAAGACTTTTTATGGCTGATTGGTGCTCAGAGAATAGCTAAAAACTGCAGATTTTGTCGTTTTCTGTCATTTTTGAAGTTATAAATACGTCTGTAACAATTATTGCTGAAAATAAGCTGTTCACGGCTGTTCAAGGTTATGACGTCAGACCTGGAGCTCGCCTTTTCTCTCTCATTATAGCTGAAAGCTATTTTTAAATCCATAATCTGCGCTGTGGAAGCCAGTTTATGATTTATTTGCATGCATGTTGTCTGTATGACATTTTATTAAGGATCCTAAAGCCAGTATTATTAACATCTTAACAGGTGTATTTATTAATCTGGTTGGTTATATATAGGGGTTGTACTTGTGTCCCTACAATACACATATTTTTATATAACCACACTCCGCTAACATCTTAATAATTTGGCCACTTATTAGTGTTACACTACGTTCATTGTGAATGAATTAATGTGAGGAGTGAAAGTAGCAACTCTGAGCTAACGAGAGATAGCTCCAGGCTACTCCTGGACGGAAAAACTCGAACGAGCCACTGCATGCCCGTGGTTCCTCGGTGCAAATTTAAAAAATAAGCTGTTTTTTCTGCTGGCGTGGTCAGAAAACTATTGCTGGTTGATTTTGAAACTCTATGTTTAAACTCTGTTTAACTACTGTGAATTTTCATTCCACAAAGCTGTTTCACAAATGCGCAGTTCATGCGCAATGCTGAGCTGCGTTATAAAAAAACTG